CTATGACCCAGCTATCCACTGCTGGGAATATACCCAGAGGAATGGAAATCATCAAGTCGAAGGTATAACTGCTCCCCAATGTTCATCGCAGCACTCTTTACAATAGCCAAGAGTTGGAACCAGCCCAAATGTCCATCATCGGATGAGTGGATACGGAAAATGTGGTATATCTACACAATGGAATACTACTCAGCTATAAAAACGAATGAAATACTGCCATTTGCAACAACATGGATGGACCTTGAGAGAATTATATTAAGTGAAACGAGTCAGCCACAGAAAGAGAAATACCACATGTTCTCACTTATTGGTGGGAGCTAAAAATAAATAAATAAATACACACACACACAAAAGAAACCGGGGTGGGAGGGAAGAAGACCTAACAATTGCAATTCCTTGAAGTTGATATGACAAGTGAACAGAAAGGACATTGTTGGGAGGGAGGGGGGAAAGAGAGGAGGGAGGGAGGTTTCAGTAATGGGCCACAATAATCAACCACATTGTATACTAACAAAATAAAATTAAAAAAAAAAAAAAGAAAGAAATGCAGATCACCTACAAATAACTAGGATGAGAATAGTATTAGACTTCTAGTCAGTAACAATGCTAGTTAATAATGGACAAATGCTTTTTTTCCTTTTTTTTTTTTGTCTTTTTTCGTGTCTGGCAACGGATCGCAACCCTCAGTGTCGCGCCCGTACCGGACCGGGACCGGCAACGGGATCGCAACCCTCGGCACTGCGCCCGCACCTCGCTCAGCCAGTGAGCGGGAACCGGTCTGTACGTGGGATCCGATCCCTCGGCCGGAGCGCCGCCGCGCTCCCAAGCAGCGCACTATAGCAGTGTGCCACCGGGCCAGCCCCGACAAATGCTTTTAAAGTTCTGAAAGAAAATAAGTTACAATCTAGAATTTTATACCTAATCAAATGACCAATCAAAAATGAGGACAGAATTAGACATTTACAGACATGTACAGACAGATCTTAGGGGGTTAATTCAGTATGAAATTTAAAAAATAATAAAGTTATTTCTTGCTAAACAAGAAAGAGGATCCAAACCTGGAGAGAAATGAGGATAAGCCCCAAGATGACATTTAACACCAGACCACGATAGCAACCAGCTTATAGAAACTGGAGCAGAGAGAGAGAGATTCTGGGAAGGAGAAGCCCAAGACAAACCTGAGTTTGTCTACAATAGAAACAAAAAAAGCAAGAAAAGAAATATAAGCAACTGGAAATACCAGTAAAAACAAAATGTCATGGACCAAACTGGAGCCTCCAGTGCAAATTAAAACAGGAAGCCAGTGAATTCCAAGGAGCAGATTTCAAGGGATAAACAGAATGTTTAAGAATCTGAATGATATCAGGGATACGGTAAAGAAGGCATATGTTACTTCTACCAACAGGAAATGTGAAAAGTGATTAGAAAATTAGGGCTGTAATCCTTCCACAGTTACTTGATTTTCTAACCATGTACACGTATCTTGGATTTTAAAAATTCTGGTAAGGTACCATACACAAGAAGCCAAAAGATCAAAGAAAAGAATTTCGTGAGGGGCAAATCTGGATGCAATACAAGGAAGACCTTTTTAAACCCTTAAAGATGTTCAAATAGAAAACAAATGCACTAAACACCGTAAGAATCCAAGCAGAGATTAAATGACCTCCTAAATGGGATGCTAAAAATGGGATTCCCACACTATGTAGTACAGAATAAATTCAACCACTTGATCATTCAACAAATGACCTAAGACTTTCCACCTCTAAAACTTTTCACTCCTGTGTAGGAAGTACGTCAGGAGACAACAGCCTCTTTAGACGTGACAGCTATTACTCAGGATGGAAAGTTTAGCACTACTGACAAAAGTTAGAAAAAAAGAAAAAATGAGAAACATAAAATAAAAAGAGGGCACAGATTGGAATTTATACCATGAAAGGAATTATTTATTCTCATAACAAATGGTAGCGCACTTGCCCTAAATACTTAATTTAAAAAATGACACGACCAGTAAGGAAAAAATGTTATTAGAACTTTTACAGCAGTCTTATATTAAGTTTAATGCATAATACTATTTGCTTGATAAATTCAAATCAATATTCAAAATTATTTATTCACTTTTTCTAATAACAATATTAATTTTAAATCAATAAAAGTATAAATTATGAAAAAACTCCACCATATCCATGCAATCTTATTAAATTTCTCCCTTACCAATCATAACCCACAGCAAATGATGTTTCAATTACAGGAGCAATGAGTTTTGCAGCTGTCAAGATGTATTTTTCTGCCATGGCTTTCCTATATCAAACAAACAAAAAAGTTATATTTAGAAATATAGAATTTGCTAAGTACCCTCATTTGATCCTTACACATTATATACATGTATTGCAATATAACTCTGTACCCCATAAATATGTACAATCAACACATTCCAATTAAGAAATAAATACATTTCCTTTAAAAAAAAAAAAGGAATATAGTATAAAAATAGTTTGGATTTCTTAAAATTTAAGTGTAAACATTATCTATCAAAAACATACCACAAAAGCCTACCAAACGATGGACAGCTGTGCTAGAAATCCATTTCTAAGTCAGGTTAAAAACCATGACTCAGGGGCTGGCTGGTTGGCTCAGTGGGTTAGAACATGGTGTTACAACACCAAGGTCAAGCGTTCGGGAACCCCAACCGACCAGCTGCCAAGAAAAAAAAAAACTAGGAAACGTGACTAGCAAGCCGTCATTGCCTTGCCTTCTGGGTCAACAGTGTTCACTTCTTTTCTTTTTCTGTTTTATGACGCCTCTGACAAACTGAAGAAAGAGACACTGGAGAGACACAAGGTTCTGCTGCAGAAATAACATAACCTACACTGTGGACATGAGAGTAAAAAGTGAAATGGCCACTAAAGAAACAGTGTGTGGTAAACAGCAAAACTGACTTACCACATGTTGTTTTCGTGTGTGTATGATATGTATGTTTCTATGTATACAGGTGTGCATATGTAAAATGCACATCGTCACCATTACTGGAAAATGCCACTGTTTTTCAAAGTGGAAATACCAACGTACAGTGGTGGATGAAAGTCCCCTTACTCACTTCTTCTTAGATTTATATACATAGCAGTTTTTAAAAATGACTTAAAATGTATATACTATTTCATAACCTGCTCTTCATACTTAATATGGAAATAATGTCTTTCCAAGTCATGAAACATTCATTTTGTGATAGTTCTTCTTTCTTTTAAACTTTTTATTTTGAAACAACTGCAGGTTCACGTGCATTTGTAAAAAATAGTAGAGATCCCATGTACTCTTTACCCGGTTTCTCCCAATGGTAACATCTTTCCAACCTACAGTACAATATCACAACCAGGATATTGGCATTGACACAGTCAAGATACAGAATATCTCCATATAGTGGATCACACTGATTGATTTTCAAATAATGAACCAGTCTTGCATCCTTCAAATTGATTTTCAGATAATGAACCAGTCTTGCATCCTACCTGGTCACGGCATACAATTTAAAAATATATTCCTGAATTCTTTTTTTAAACAGCTTTATAGAGATATAAGTCACATACCATACAATTCACCCACATAAATAAATGGTTTAAGAATATTCAGATTTGTGAAACAATCACCACAATCATTTTAAAATAATTCTCATCACCCCAAAAAGAAACCCAGTACTCATTAGCAGACAGACACTTCATTTTAATTACCAACCACCCAGCCTCTGGCAACCACTAATCTACTTTCTGTCTTTATAGATTTGCCTACTCTGTACCTTTTATACAAATGGAATCATAGAATGTGATTTTTTTATGACTGGCTTATTTATAGTGTTTTCAAGGTTCATCTGTACTGTAGTATGCATGAGTACTTATTCCTTTTTATGGCTGAATAACATCCCATTGTTTGGATAGACCATATGTTATTTATACATTCATGAGTTGTTAGACATTTGGAGTTCCACTTTTTCAATATTATAAATAATGTTGCCATGAACGTTCATGTACAAGTTGTTATAAGGACACATGCTCTAATTTCTTTTGGGTATATGCCCTGGAGTGAAATTGCTGGGTCATAGGGTTAAGTCTATGTTTAACCTTTTGGGGAACTTCCAGACTGTTTTCCAAAGTGGCTGTACCATTTTATATTCCCACCACCAGCACACAAGTGTTCCAACTTCTCCACATCCTCGCCAATGCTTACTTTCTGTCTTTTTCTTACTATGGTTGGTATAAAGTGGCATCTCATTGCAGTTTTGAGCTGCAGCTCCCTAACAACTACTGAAGGTGAGAATCTTTTCATGTGCTTATCGGGCTTTGGCATATCTATCTTAAAGAAATGTCTATGCAGATCCTTTGCACATTTTTAATTGGGTTATTAGTCTTTTTATTGATTTGAAAGTTATTTATATACTATAGAAATAAGCCCCCTTGTAGATACATGACTTGTAAATATTTTCTCCCATTCAATGGGTTGTCTTTCCACTCCCTGGATAATGTTCTTGGAAGAAAATAAGTTTTTAATTTTGATGAAGTCCAATCTCCCTTTTTCTTTTGTTACTCGTGCTTTTGGTGTCTTATCTAAGAAACCACTGCCTAATCCAAAGTCAATAATACTTATTTCTATTTTTTTCTAATAATTTTATAGTTTTAGCTATTACATTTAGGTCCATTTTGAGGTAATTTTTGTGTATGGTGTGAGAGAAGTCCAATTTCATTCTTTTGGATGAGTATATCCAATTTTCCCAGCACCATTTGTTGAAAAGACTATCCTTCCTCCCATTAAATTGTCTTGGCCCCTTAATTGACTATAAATGCAAGGGTTTATTTCTGGACTTCCAACTCCATTCCATTGATTCATATGTCTATGTTTATGCTAGTACCACAGTGTCTTAATTAGTGTAGCTTTGTAGTTTGAGTCCTTCAACTTTGTTCTTCTTTTTCTACATTGTTTGGGCTATTCAGGATTCCTTACATTTCCATAAAAATTTTAGGATCAACTTGTCACTTTCTGAAAAAACACTGCTGGGATTTTGATAAAGACTGTATGGAATCTGTAAATCAATTTGGGAAGCACTGCCATCTTAACAATATTAACTGCCTATCCATAAGCATGTGATGTCATTTATTTAGCTTTTTATATGCTTTCAATAATGTTTTATAGTTTTCAAAGTACAGATTTTACATTCCTTTTGTTAAATTTATTCCTAATTATTTTTTTATGCTATTGTAAATGCAATTGTTAATTTCATTATTGGATAGTTCACTAGTAGTGTATAGCATATTTCTTTACTACAGTATGACTTTTGTATAGATTTTTTTCTGTGGTACCTTGCTGAACTCATTTATTAATTGTAATAGTTTTTATTGGATTCCTTAGGATTTTCTATAAAGATGATCATGTCATCTGTAAACAGACAGTTTTACTTGTTCATTTCCAACCTGGACGTCTCTTACTTGACTTTTTTTTGCCTAACTGCCAAAACTAGAACCTCCAGTACAACGTTGATTAGAATTGGTAAAAATGGATATCTTCTCTTGTTCCTGATCTTAGGTGGAAAACATTCAGCTTTGGCTGTGTTAGCTGTGGGATTTTCATAGATGCACTTTATCAGATTGAGGAATTTCCTTCTACTCCTATAGAGTTTGTTTTTATCGTGAAAGCATTTTGGATTTTGTCAATATTTTTTGCTTCTTCATTCTTCTGGTATCCTGTATGATATTAACTGATTTTCAGATGTTAAACCAATCTCAGATTCCTGAGATAAATCCCACTTGATCACGTGCATAATTCTTTTTATATTTTGTTAATATATTGGCTTGCTTGTATTTTCTTGAGGATTTTTGCATGTATATTCATAAAATATCGGTCTGTAGTTTTCTTTTTTTTGGTGGTACTTTGTCTGAGGGGCCTTGTTACCACTAGATGATGACTAAAGCCCTTAACTCTCCACTAAGCTTCCTCTGACACCTCCCAGGAGAAAGGGGGACGGGTGTTTCCTAACTGCTGGGTGGGGGTGGAATTCCAGGCTCCCCCTGTGTCATCCACTGACACCAGAGGTGTTTGACTTGTGAATGGCCTTCAGGGATTAAAGTCCTGCTCCCTACCTGGCCTTCTCTGATGCCACCCCAGTGGAGTATTGCGGTGTTTCCTCACAGCCTTGCAAGGGTGGACATCTAGGCTCCCCACTCAGCTTCTGCTACTGTTATGTGGCAGTGCAGCCAGATTTTTCTGTGGCATTTGTCTAAAAGTTTTTGTATTGGTAGCGTTTTTTTTTTTTTTTTTTTTTTTTTTGGTGCACCCATTGGTGGTTTCTGGTGGCCAGCTTCTTCATCTCCCAGTCTGATGTATGAGGGGAACTCACTACCATGTGTTCCTCGGGTCCAAAGGTCCCTTGCTGATCTGCCCTCTTCTCTCCACATTTCTTGTATTGGTTTTACATATAACTTCCAGTGGTTTTAGTTGTACTTAAGTGGGAAGAATAAAAAAAAGTACGTCTACTTTGTTTTCCCATAAGTGTTAAGTCTCTGTTTTATTTTTATTGTTAAACTAATTCTTAAAGATTAAAGGCCATCCATCCATACAAAGGATTCAGCCTGAAAAGGGAAGGAGATTCTGATATATGTTGCAAGATGGATAAACCTTGAGGACACTGCTGAGTGCAATAAGCTGGCACACACACAAAAATACTGTATGATTACTATGAGGAACCCATTGTAGTCAAAATCATAGAGACAGAAAGTAGAATGGTGGCTGCCAGGGGCTGGGGTAGAGAGCAATGGGGAGTTAGTGTTCAATAGGTAGAGAGCTTCAGTTCTGCAAGATGATAGAGTTCTGGAGACTGATTATACAACAATGGGAATGTACTTAACACTACTGAACTGTACACTTAAAAATGATCAAGATGGTAAATTTTATGTTATATATATTTTGCCACAATTTAAAAAAAAAAGGTTACGGACCCTTCATTATGTGGTATACTTCTAATATACCTATCGTATGTTCAATAAGTATTAAAATTTTCAAATTACAGCTGGCAGAGACTAGGTACCTATGATATTGCAATATAATAAGAAATATATTTGGTCTTCATCTGGGTTCCTGGCACAGACCTAAAACCCTGGGAGTTTCCTGAGTGATAAAAGTGGTTTTTGTCATTTATGAGACTGGAGTTTATGCTAATGGCTCCTAGAAAGCTTCAAGATGGGGGCGAGCTGCCCAAGGAACCAACCGGTAATTAGAGGGTTGGGACTTTCAGCCCCATCCCCTGACATCTGGGAGGAGAAGGGCTGGAGACTGAGTTCAATCACCAATGGCCAATGATATAATCAATTATGCCTATGTAATGGAACCTGTATAAAAACCCTAAATGATGGAGTTTGAAGAGCTTCCAGGTTGGTGAACACAAGGAGGTGCTGGGAGGGGGTGTGGAAGCTCTGCACCCCTTCCCAAGTACACTAACCTATGCATCTCTTCCATTTAAAATAACTGTAAGTAAAGTATTTTTCTGAATTCTGTGAGCTGTTCTTAAAAATTATGGAACCTGAGCAGGGGGTGGTGGAAACTCCCCAGTTTATAGCAAGTTGGTCAGAGGTACAGGAGACCCAGATTTGCAACTGGCATCTGTAATGGGGGGCAGGGCAAACTTGGGGTACTGAGTCCTTAACCTGTGGGGTCTGCACTAACTCTGGGTAGTTAGTGTCAGAACTGAATTAAATTGTTGGACCCACACTTGGTGTCCAGGGAGTTGGATAATTGGTTGTTGGTGTGAGAAAAGCCACACATTTGTTGTCAGAAGTGCTGTAAGTAGAAACAGGTTATAGTACACTATTGGAGGAAGGAAAAACTGAAATAAATATTTTGTTTCTCAGAGTTGATATTTATTCTGGAGGCAGGACAAAATTACATAACGTCATAATTTTTGAAATAAAGGTAATATAAACAAAGTTCCAATACTGCACTACATGCAGAGGGAAAGTGAGTTATAAGATAATTGAGTAAGAATAATCGGGATTAGCATGAGGACTGAGATTATTTTGAAGGAAAAAAGAAAATTCAGTAAAGCACAGAAATGGTGAAATAATAGCACTATTCAGGAAATATATTGAATATAACAATTTAGTAAGAAACAATCAGAATGTAACCCTTTTATAAAAATTAAAACTATGTTATTAAGTTTTAATGATTAAGTGCCCAAAAAGTTACCTTTCACGTTCCATTTGCCTAAGATGATCATTTTTTATTGCTTCAATCACTAAGTTAGTATGAGAATCATCCTGGAAAAAATGAAAGTTACAAAAAAGAAAAGAAAAACAACTCAGAAGTAAACACCAAGGCCTCCCCACTAACTACTTATATGAAATGGAGAGTAAATTAATCCTTCTAAACTAATTTCCCCTATGTAAAGTAGAACTTTTTTTTCTTACTTCTGATTACCTACCACATTCTCCATTGAACTAACATAGATTTTAAGCAGCTGATAAGAGGGTCAGGCTGAAAAGATTAGGATCGAGTATACAGAAGCTGTGATTGTTAGTACAAATGTGTGATATTATTTTTCTAAACTCGACTATACATGCTACAATGATCATCAATTGATTAGTGCAATTCATATTTCTACTCCCCATTAAGAAAACAGATGTTTTTTTCAGAATGTGTATTATTTTTTCTCAATACAAAATTAATGTGTAATTAACATTTACAGAGCACTTTACTATGCTCCGGGTACTATTTTAAGCATTTCACATGCATTAACTCATTTAATCCTCACACCCTATATAAGGTAGGTTATTACAATTGGTCCCATTTCATAATATAAAGGAACTGAAGCACACGAAGTGGAAGAACTGAATGTGGGGGCCAGGCCTCTGGCTTCAGAGCCTACACTCACTAACCACAATGCTACGACACCCTTACGATCTATTATTAAAATGTATTAAGTTCAGCTCTATGAAATTGAAAGTATTATTCCATTTTTATCTATAAACACAGGCAATCTCATATGGTTTGACTTAATATAAAATAATACACAGCATACCAATAATTTATGTGTAAAAATCTGGAAAATATTTTTAAAGCATTAAGAAAAACAATTTCATTGTCCAGAAACTACTGTTCCAATTTTGATGTAATTTCTTCCAGTTTATGTTCAAGTATAGGTGTGTATCTATATTTTTCTACTTACCATTACAAAATATTTCCCTAGGTCTTTGAAAATATGACTTCTGATGCTGTATTATGTTCTACTCTATGAATAAAGATAAGGAATTACTTTATGTCATTCCGGATATGTTTATTACACATGGTTTAGGTTCCAGCTCTTCAACAATGACTTTAAAAAGATCAAAAGGATTTAAGGGTTCATTTTTTGAGATATTACCCTTGATGAATGACATATAACCTTATTTTAAATAACATTCTCCTTTTTTTACTAAAATTGTGCAGTCTGTTGTAATCATACGCCCTTTCAATGAAGAGCCCATTCCCAACCTAATTTAAATAACAAATGCAATAAATATATTAATGATAAAACACATTAATATAGGCCTGGGAAAAACCCCAAAAGTCATCCACTCCAACTTTCTCATTCTGCTAACACAAAAACACAGATAATTAGGACTACAAAACTGTCTTTTTCATACTCACGCTTGGTGAAATATATTTATCATCTTCATCAATTTCTAATGGAACAGCAATCAATTTTTGGAATGCCTTCTTCATTTTTTCTCTGTCTCCAATGGCAAAATAACTCAGAATTAGGTTGAAGCCTGCCTTCAGGTTTGGTGCCAGACTCATTATGTGCTCAAATGAATTAATGGCATCTGCATACTGACCAGTCATAATAAATGTAACTCCAATGTTCTGTGTTATTTTAATCCTAAAGAAAAATAAACATGGATTGGCTTTAAAAGTCTGAATTCTTGGACTCCATCCCCAGCCCAGCCCAGTGCGCGCCGATCAGAGAGGAACTCAGCCGGAGAGGCCCAAGATCCGCAGAGACCACGCACCCTGTGGCACCAGCGTGCGACCCAGCAGATAGGCCTCACCACCGCCGCCTGACTCCATCCCCAGCCCGGCCGAGTGCACGACGATCAGAGAGAAGCCCTCTGGAGAGGCCCAAGATCCGCGGAGACCACACGCCCTGCAGTGCCAGCGTGCAAACCAACAGCTAGGCCTCATCACTGCCATGTGACTCCATCCCCAGCCCGGCCAAGTGTGTGCCGATCAGAGAGGTGCCCACCGGAGAGGCCCAAGATCCGTGGAAACCACACGCCCTGCAGTGCCATTGTATAACCCAGCAGGTAGGACTCACTGGCACTGCCTGACTGGTCAAGTGTGCGCCGACCAGAGAGGTGCCTCCCCAGAGAAACCCAAGACCTGAGAAGACCATGCACCCAAGGCACCAGAGGGCAACCAAGCAGACACTGAGTCAGCTGTGCCAAACTGGCAGCCCCAACAGCATCCTAGCCAGACAATAGTGTTGAACCAGTGGACCCTGAAATCCCTTGCCACAATGACTAGACATCAAAGGAAAGACACCAGAAATATGAAAAATCAAGAAAGTACATTGCCAAAGGGTAATAACTCTCAAGCTCTAGATCCTATAGAACAAGAAGCCCTTGAAATGTCTGACAAGGAATTTCGAGTGACAATTCTAAGGAAACTGAATGAGATACAAGAAAACTCAGCTAGACAACATGAAGAAACAAGGAAAAGTATACAGGACCTGAAAGAAGAAATGTACAAGGAAATCAATGCCCTGAAAAAGAATGTAGCAGAGCTTGCCAAACTGAAGAATTCATTCAATGACATAAAAAACACAACAGAGAGTTTAACCAGCAGGCTTGCAGAAGTAGAAAAGAGAACTTCTGACATCGAAGATGGGCTGTTTGAAATAACACAGGCAGACCAAAAAAAAAAAAAAAAAAGAATTAAAGGCATTGAAGAAAATTTGAGAGAGATATCAGACAACCTTAAGAGCTCGAATCTCTGAGTCATGGGTGTTCCAGAGGGGAGGAAAAGGGAGATTGCATTGAAAACATATTCAACAAAATAGTGGCAGAAAACTTCCCAGTTATTGGAAAAGATAGATCTTCAGATTCAGGAAGCTCAAAGATCTCCAAACATATTCAGCCCCAAAAGGTCTTCTCCAAGACATGTTATACTCAAATTGACAAAACTCAAAAACAAAGAGAGAATCTTAAAAGCTGCAAGAGAGAAGTGTCAAATCACTTATAAGGGAGCCCCAATCAGACTAACACCAGACTTTTCATCACAAACCCTAAAAGCCAGAAAGGACTGGGATGGTATATTCAAAATACTAAAAGACAGAGATTGCCAGCCAAGAATACCCTACCCCTCAAGGCTATCCTTCCGAAATGAAGGGCAAATAGTATATTTCTCAGACAGACAAAAACTGTGGGAGTTCACTACCACATGACCACCCCTATGAGAAATTCTCAAGGGAGTACTGGGTTTGGTACCTGAAAAATAACTACCACAGCTATAAAAACTCAAGAACAATCAAAACCCGCTGGTAAAATAAAAATGCCAACAATGAAGAGAAAAAAGTTTATCTACAACCCAAGGAACCAACAAATACAGAAGACAAAAAGTAAATCAGAAAGAAAGGAACAAAAGACACTTAAGACATCCAAACAAAGGTCAATAAAATACTAGGAGTAAATCAACACTTTTCAATAACAACTCTTAATGTAAAAGGATTAAATTCCCCAATCAAAAGACAAAGACTGGCTGACTGGATTAAAAAGGAGGACCCAACTATATGCTGCCTACAAGAGACCCACCTCACCCAGAAAGACTCACATAGACTAAGAGTGAAAGGATGGAAAAAGATTTACCATGCAAACAGAAATGAAAAATGAGCTGGAGTAGCTACTCTTACATCTGATAAAATAGACTTTAACCAAAAAAACCATGAAAAGAGATAAAGAGGGCCACTACATAATAATAAAAGGATTGATCCATCAAGAAGACATAACAATCAAAAATATATACGCACCCAATGTCAGAGCAGCCAGATTTATAAAGCAAACTCTATTAGACGTAAAGAAGGAAATAGACACTAATACCATAATAGCAGGGGACCTGAACACCCCACTATCAATATTGGACAGATCATCTAGGCAAAGAATTAGCAGATAAACACAAGATCTAAACAACACTCTTGACCAATTGGACTTGACAAATATCTATAAAACATTCCATCCAACAACTTCAGAATATTCATTCTTCTCATCAGCACATGGATCATTCTCCAGGATAGATCACATATTAGGTCACAAATCAAGTCTCAACAAATTCAAAAAAATTGGAATTATCCCATGTATTTTTTCAGACCACAATGGATTAAAACTACAAATCAAAAACAAACAAAATTCTGGAAACTATACAAACACATGAAAATTAAACAGCATTCTACTTAATAACATATGAGTCCAAGAAGTAATCAAACAGGAAACCAAAAAATTTCTTGAAACTAATGAAACAATGATACATCATACCAAAACCTGTGGGATACTGCAAAAGCAGTACTAAGGGGGAAATTTATCACATTAAATGCTTACTTCAGAAGAATGGAAAGATGGCTAGTGAACAACCTAATACTTCACCTTAAAGAACTAGAAAAACAAGAACTATCCAAACCCAAAGTTAGCAGATGGAAAGAAATCATTAAGATCAGAGCAGAACTTAATGAAATTGAAACCCCAAAAATGATACAAAAGATCAATGAATCAAAAAGTTGATTTTTTGAAAAGATAAATAGAATTGACAAACCATTAGCATGGCTAACTAAAAAAAGAAGCGAGAAGATCCAAATAACAAAAATTAGAAATGAAAAAGGTGATATTACAACTGATACATCTGAAATACAAGGAATCATTCGAGACTACTATAAACAAGTATACGCCAAGAAACTTGAAAATTTGGAGGAAATGGATAAATTTCTGGACACACACAAACTACCAAAACTCAGCCAAGAAGATGTAGAAAATCTGAACAGACCAATAACAATAAAAGAGATTGAAGCTGTTATCAGAAGGCTCCCGGGCCGAGCCCGTGGCGCACTCGGGAGAGTGCGGTGCTGGGAGCATAGCAGCACTCCCGCCGCGGGTTCGGATCCTATATAGGGATGACTGGTGCGCTCACAGCACTCACTGGCTGAGCGCAGTGCAGCCGGTCACAAAAAGGACAAAAAAAAAAAAAAAAAAATCTATGAAGCAAACATCACCCTGATACCAAAACCAGGTAAAGATACATTTAAAAAAGAAAACTCCATGCCATACTATACTCCTTGATGAATATAGATACTAAAATCCTCAATAAAATACTAGCTAAAAGAATACAGCAACATATATGCAAAATTATACACCATGATCATGTGGGATTCATCTCAGGGATGCAAGGTTGGTTCAACATATGCAAAACAAGGTCTCAAGATGGCAACGGGTCCGGAGTGAGCGTGCCAGAAGACAGCGCGAGCCTGAGAAGTGTGTGCTGTGGTGCCAGAGTACTATTTGCATTTCCAAGAGCAACAAAAAAAGAATAAATCATTGATCAACTAATCTACAACGACAAAAAAGCAACTACAGATTCGAGGTTTCAGGGCTGACACAAAAGAAGATTCCTGAGAGCGCCCAAGCCATGTCGCGGGACCTAGTGAGCAGCCCGAGGCAACAAAGGCCAAGAAAGACGGCAGCGACGATGCAGAAACGGAGAGGAAGGCGCTGGACCGGCCAAGCTCTGTGAGCTCTGTGAGTGATCCCCAGTCCAGCCCCGCTTGCAGGGCAGATGCTCGTCCGGCTCCCGCCTACCACACCAGGCTAGGCACCGGCACCAGCGCTGCCTCTATTTTCTCGGGTGGGGGCGGAGCTGGCTGGCACGGATCAGCCAGGCCCGCCCTCCTCACTTGGCGCGGCTCCTCACTGAGCCGTGCCACTTGCGTGCCTCGGCGCGGGGCCCCCCGGGGCCTGTGGACGGGCCTACAATCCCACTCCCCCCGTGGATCTCTGGCGGGGCTGGTGACTGGGGGAGCCCCCGGCCAGCATCGGGAGGGCAGGGAAGAGGAGCCTGCCCAGATTGTCACTCCACCACACCCTGGGCTTCGGCCCCAGGTAAACTTCCTGTTTCCGGGAGGCAGATACCATCTCTGTGGCCATCAGTTCGGAAGAACCCCAAACTGATTTCTGGTGGGGAGAGGTGAGGCCGGAGCGCTCTCGAGCTCGCTTGAACCTGCCGGAGAGCAGACTGCTGGCGGGCGCCCGAGTCGGCCCGTGCTGGGGGGATTCAAAGAGGAACTGTGTGCTGTGGGATCCTCCCCCAAGGAGCTCACACCCTGGTGTCAGAGATAACTCAACTACACAATTAACCACAATACCAGGAGGAAAGTAGTAGCCCAGAGAAAGCCTTATCCAGAGCCACAAAAGCACCCAGAGCGTCCCTAACAGAAACCTGAAAGTCTTCCTGGGCAGGGCGGGGCAGAGCACGGGCTTGAAGTCCCGGCTAATAGACGAGGATTGCAGAAGACACACCCCAGACCTGTACTGAGCGCACAGAGTGGGGAGGGGTCCGGCAAAGGAGGCGGAGTCTCTACAAAAAAATACACACCCTGAGGGCTGCCTCTGCAAGGTCCAACAGCCCCACCTAGTGCACAGAGGGTGGGGAAACGCCCAGATAGCGAGGGGGAGACTCGGCAGAACACACATACCCTGTGGGGCCGGCAGGGCGGGATCCAGCAGCCAGGACCAGAACACATGGAACAGGGAGAACTACACGGGAAGTGGAAGATCAAGAGAGTCCACACACCCTGCAGTACCATACTGAGATCCAGCAGCCTAGTAGAGTCCAAGCTGACCA